AAGAAAATGCCAGACAAAAATGTTTGACTATTCCAATACTTATATACAGTTGTCTTGGTTTTACAGGTGGTTTTTGGCTGGTTTGTGTTTCCAGTTACTATTTTATATAGCCTTGTTACACACTTTGAGACTGGCTAAGACTCCCAGTCTTTCTAATGTAACAGATGTTTTTGGGCTACTCCTTTTTTCTCAACCACATTGTGATCTAAAGAGCTCACAACTTCATTTTTGCATTAGACTTTTGCCCCATAGAATTTTTGGTTGCTATATACCAGCTGTCACAAAATTCTATCTGCTGTGATATGAAGTGTAACATCTGGCTGTAACATATGATGCATTCAATCTTTGTAATCACTTGAGAGATGATTAGAACGTGGGAATACTGCAGGGCAATATTTTTTTGTAAAAACAAAACAAAACATGTCCTTGATGTTTGAAGTATCATAAGCAAATGATCAACTAATCATTCTAAAAAGGTCTAACTGGGTCCAAATCAGTGGCGGATCCAGAGCCAGATCTTGGGAGGGGCACTTGTAGATTATTTAAAGAAATAGTCCATGCATAATAACCTACTACAGCTCTGTGTAGTGGTTATGGTGCCAGGAGTGCCAGGACCCCCTCCCAAAGTAAGTAGTCAAACCGTTTAAGAACAGTTTGACAACTTACCTAGGGTCTGCTGGGATATGGGGCTGTAGTAGGGCATAGGAGCAGTGGTGTGTGTGTGAGTGGTGCAATGTGTGAGGGATGCAGTCAGTGGCAGATACAGGGGGGGCAACGGGGCAATTGCCCCCCCCCGGGAAAACCGACGGTCTCCCTCTCCCCTTCCAGCACATGCAGGCGCTAGCCCTGCAATGTGCCTGCGGACCGGGAAGGGAGTTCAGAGATCTCCCTCCATGGTCCGCAGGCACCGTGCTGGCAGCCGGCAGGGGGAGGGAGAGAGAGAGGACCCGGGAGCTCAGCCTGCAGCTCCTCCGGGTCCTCTTCTCGCGAGCATGGAGCTTTGCCGCGGCAATGCTCCAGATCTCACGAGAGTGAACTCTAGCCCAGGAGATGCGGGCTAGAGTTCACTCTCCCCACTGGGCCACCAGGGATTCCCCACCGGACCACCAGGGATCCAGAAATGTCCCCCCTCCTCCCAGTAAAGGTAAGAAGGGAGGAGGGACAAAGTATATTAATTTTAATTAAATAAATTTTTTAAAAAGCATATTATAAAAAAAGCCCCCCAAAGTGTGTGTATTTGTGGGGCAGTGTATGTGTGTGGGGCCAGTGTGTGTATGGGGGGCAATGTATGTGTGTGTGGGGCAAGTGTGTGTGTGGGGGCAGTGTGTGAATGTATAGTGTGGGGGCAGTGTATGTGTGTGTGAGAACAATGTGTGTGTGTGTGTATGGGGGCTGTGTGTGTGTGTATGGGGCTGTGTGTGTGTGTGTGTATGGGGGCTGTGTGTGTGTGTATGGGGGCGGCAGAGTGTGTATGTGTGGGGCAGTGTGTGTATGTGTGGGGCAGTGTATGTGCGTGGGGGCAGTGTGTGTATGGGGGGCAATGTATGTGTGTGGGGGCTGTGTGTGTGTGTGTGTATGGGCAGGGCCGGCCTTAGGGGTGTGCGAGCTGTGCGACCGCACAGGGCGCCATGGAACAGGGGGCGCCCTGTGGCCGACACAGCTCACTCATGGCCGGAGTGCAGGGGAGCTAAAAGAGGTACCTGGCTGGAGGATTAATTGTTCTCCACCCGGGTCTATTTAAAAAATAAAAAAAAATAAAAAAAAAAAAAATCGCGGCAGAGGGGGCGGGGTTTACCGAGCGGCGGAGGCGGGGCTTATCGAGAGGCGGAGACGGGGCTAATACCTCCCGAAGCCCCTGCTGTACAGGAAGAGGGAAAGATGCTTCCCCATCAGCCAACTGCATCCACTGGAAAGAGGTAAGTGTGTGTGTGTGACTGTTTGCCTGTTTGTGTGACTGTCTGTCTGTGTGTGTGTGACTGTGTGACTGCCTGCCTGTGTGCGTGTGACTGTCTGTGTGTGTGTGTGACTGTCTGTGTGACTGCCTGTCCTTGTGTGTGTGTGTGTGTGTGTGTGTGACTGTCTCTGTGTGTGACTGCCTGCCTGTGTGTGACTGTCTGTGTGTGTGACTGTCTATCTGTGTGACTGCCCATGTATGTGACTGCCCATGTATGTGACTGCCTGTGTGTGTGACTGTCTGTCTGTGTGACTGTCTGTCTGTGTGACTGTCTGTCTGTGTGACTGCCCGTGTGTGTGAGACTGTCTGTCTGTGTGACTGTCTTTGTGTGTGACTGTCTGTCTGTGTGTGTGACTGTCTGTGTGTGTGACTGCCTGCCTGCCTGTGTGTATCTGTCTGTAACTATCTGTCTGTGTGTGACTGCCTGCCTGTGTGTGTGACTTTCTATCTGTGTGACTGCCTGCCTGTGTGTGTATAACTGTCTATGTGTGTGTTACTGTGTGTCTGTCTGTGTGTGTGACTGCCTATGTGACTGTCTGTCTGTGTGTGTGACTGCCTATGTGACTGTCTGTCTGTGTGTGTCGCTGTAGCTGTGCCATTGTTTGTGCCTGTGCCTGTATGTGTGACTGCCTTTAACTGAGTGTGTGTGTACATGCCTGTAACCGAGTTTAAATTTTCCCCACCCCTTCCTGTCAAGGCCGCACTTTGACTGACAGACGCTCACTCACTGACAGACGCACACTCACTGACAGACACACACTCTCATATACACTGACAAACAATGACATACACATATACACTATTACTTGGACACACACTGACAGATGCACACTCTCACTGACAGACGCAAGCACTCACTGAAAGATGCACGACTCCACTGACCGACACATACACACTGACTGACACACACTCACTGACCGACACACACTCACTGACCGACACATACACACTCACTGACCTACACTCACTGACCGACACACACTCACTGACGACACATACACACTCACTGACGACACATACACACTCACTGACTGACACATACACACTCACTGACTGACACATACACACTCACTGACCAACACACACATTCACTCACAGACACACACACATTCACTTACAGACACACACACATTCACTTACAGACACACACAATTACACACTTACAGACACACACACACACACACACACACACATTCACTTCAAAATAAACACTCCCAGACACACACACAGACATTTCCACTAACACTCACAAACTAATATTTTTTACATTTATTTTAAATCCACCCAGCCTCCCTGGGAAAGCTGGAGTGGATTTCTTACCAACAGTCCAGTGTGGCTGCTGGGCAGGCAGGCAGGGGGCGCACAGGCTGAGTAAGCAGCGCTTAGTGATGCCGGGAGCCGGACTGACGTCATATTCTGGCTCCCGGCTTCATTAAGCGGCACAGAGGAAGCTGAGCAGGAAGAGCTCAGGTGAGTATGCTCCTTCGCTGCCCGCTGCCAGCCTTGGGGGGGCTCAAAAGTGGCCAGCCGGTCAGCTCTTGAGCCCCCCAGGATGCGAGGCAAGCAGGGGATCTGCCTGGGGGTTTGGAGGGATGCTTTTTTTTGCCGCCCCCTGCAAAGTGGCGCCCAAGGCAGATGCCTTGTTTGCCTCGTGATACACACGTCCCCGGTGCCTGTGTGTGTTACTGTATTCAGGCAACTTGGTGGGAGGTGGGGGGGGCGCCGTGAAGACTTTTTGCACAGGGCGCCTAATTGCCTAAGGCCGGCCCTGTGTATGGGGGCTGTGTGTGTATGTGTATGGGGGCTGTGTGTGTGTGTATGTGTGGGGCAGTGTGTGTATGTGTGGGGCAGTGTATGTGCGTGGGGGCAGTGAGTGTATGGGGGGCTGTGTATGCGTGTGGGGGCAGGGCCTGCGATACCTGTAAGGCGACCTAGGCAGCCGCCTAAGGCGCACCTTAGTAGGGGGTGCCGGATCCCTGTGCCCGGAGTCACCGGTGCGGCTCCTCATGCTGCGCCGCCTGAGCGCTTTAGCAAAGCCTCAGGCGGTGCATCACTGCTGTACGAAGGGTGGCCGTATTGGAGTGACTGGCAGGAGGGAAGCGCAGAGCTCTCCCTCCTGCCGGTCTCTCAATGTAGCATGGCCGCCGGCGGACTGACAGGAAGTGCTCACTGAGTAAGCACTTTGAGTGAGCACTTCCCTTCAGTCCGCCGGCGGCCGGGTACAGGAAACAGAGGTTCCTGTCCCGCATTCCGCGCCACCCGGCCACGCTACATAGGCAGGAGGAACAAAAGAGGAGGGTAAGGACCACTGGGGGAGGAGAGGGGGAAGTAAGGACCACTGGGGGAGGGGTGGGAGAGAGGTAGGGGCCTGGGGGGAGGGAGTAAGGACCACTGGGGAGAGTGGGACCACTGGGGGGAGAAGAGGGAGGGAGTAGGACCACTGGGAGGGAGTAGGACCACTGGGGGAGAAGAGGGAGGGGAGAGTAAGGACCACTGAGGGGGGGGGATTACCACTAAGGGGGTGGGGGGAGGAGGGGAATGTCTACTAAGGTGTTTGGGAGAGGGAGGACCACTAAGGGGGAGAGTGGGCAGTGAGAAGACCACCAAGGGGGGACTGCAGAGGCACAGGGGGCCAAGGGAGAGCACTAAGGGACAGAAAGGGAGAACACGGAGGTACAGGAGGGAAGGGGAAATAAATAATTGACAGGAGGGGAAAGCACTATGAAAATTATTTT